TAGGGGTTAAGGGCTTGGGGTCTTCCTTCGCAGGGCTTTCTCAAGGGTGGGCTACGGCCAGTCCACACCACAGGGGCGTGCGTGATTCCGCTAAGCAGGGTACTTTTCTCAGCACCGTACGATAGGGAGCGGTGAAAGTTCATAGCCCAGCTGACGGCACCTCTCCCTTAGCTACCATTAGGGGCTTTGCATTCGTTTGCGGAGTTGTTCTGTTGTTTCATGGGGGTCTGAGGCCGCAGGGTTGGAGTGAGATGTTTAGGGAAGGCTTTTTAGGTGTTTCACACAGGGACGATCCGCCTTGGTGAGGGTGGTTTCACTGTGTAGACTGTGCACCTCCCGAATCACAACAACACCTACCAACGTGGATAACCCTCTGCAGGGCCAAGAAGTAGTTGTTTCATACGGGGCCATGTTCAAGTTAGGAGAGGGCATGAGGGCACTAGTTGTTTCCTGTGGCCACGGGCTGCCGCCCTCTAATTGCGCTCTGGGTTCGAAGCTTCAGGTTGAGGGTTTACTTGGAGGTTCATTGTAGTTCTAAGTGGCGTTATAAGTCCCCTAGTATGGGTTATGAACATAGTTACCCTACTGATAACCCCACTTATAGCTAACCATGAACCTCCAAATAGGGTGAAAGGAGCTTTGGGATCCTGTAGAAGCGCTGAAAGCCTTCAGAATGTCCGTTTTTCCGGATTCAACAGCCTCGACCTAGATTTCCTAAAGCCTACATGCCCAATCCGAAGACCTCAACCTTGAACTCAAAATGTCCAGATCCTCAACCTTCCAACCCTCAGCCCTAAAAGCCCTAGAACTTGGAGGTTCATGGGTAGTTATATTAAGTGGCTTATAAGTTTAATATGGGTCATAAGTATAGGCACCCTACATATAACCCTACTTATGTTCTGTATAACTACCCATGAACCTCCAAGTAGGCCCTAAACCCTATACCCTTCTAGAATCCCCATAGATCCTTTTAAAGGGACCCTTAAAGGAGCCCTTATAACTACCCATGAACCTCCAAGAACTTCAGCCGCCAGCTCGAATGGTGAGCTCTGCTTGAGCCCAGGTTGCTCGCCACCTGCATCGTTCAGGCCACCTACATTCATGACCTGGCCCACGAGGTCTGGGAGAAAAAAGGGGGCCGAAGAGATGGATGCAACTCAGAGCCCCAGGCCACGAGACTCTATCTCTTAAGTATCTGTGGTCCGTAGATCCCCAACCTCCCTACATTCTGAAGCTCCGGACTTTAAGAAACGGTCCTGCCCTTATCCAACAGCCCGACGACCAGGCCTGGCTTCCGGACAACCACGCCGGTCTGCAGATGAATCTGGTGAGCCGGGGCGGGCGCAGCACTGACCCTGCAGACTACCTGCCCAACCATGAGGCAGAGAGAAGATTACGCCCCTGGGCCTGCGGCAGCCAGGGTTTTGGAGATGTTTGCTTGTGGGTTCAGACGTTCCTGCAACTTGAGGGCTTAGGGCTTAGGTTTCAGGTTACTGGGCTAGGGTTGAATGATTTTCATGGCAGATTGTACTGCTGGTTACTCAATTGGAGCTGGTGGTAGTGGTAGTGGTGGTGGGATCTTGTGGGAGGTGGGCTTGGCAGTGGTGCGAGCGGCAGACGTAGCAGTTCTGTTCATCAACGCGTTGGTTCGTGCACAGGGTTTCAGATTTAGGTCTTTAGGTGCCTGGGAATGTACTGGGAATGGAATGGATCAACTCCGGCGGTTGAATGTCTCTGATCAACAGGCACCCGGCTGTGTTTCAAAGCTTGGCAGCTTGATGGAAGATCGCGTGCCCAGCTGAAGTGTGGAAAACCTGAAGCCCTCAGCATGTGAATGTGCTTCGGCATCGAAAGCCTGCAAGTTCTGGCAAGCCCTTGTTGAAGAGACACAAAGACTTTAGAGCTTAGGGTTTCTAGCCCAAACCCAGCAGCCCCCAACCCCGAATCCAGGCTTGTCGCTCATGGCTCTCAACGGCAGCAGCCTGGAAAGCCCATTGCTTTGCTACCGCAAGGTCTTCAAGGAGGCGCCGGCCGGCTGCTATGGGGTTTGGGGTTTGGGCATAGGGCCGGTATTCGCCAAGTCTGTTGCTGAAATGACTGTAGCGCTCAGGGTGTCGAGTTGAAAGCCGGGTTATGGGGCTCCCACCTTGGAAAAGGCCGCCTGCCTTTGGAGAGTTGTGCTGAAGCTGCTTACACGGGCTGACGATTTATCTTATAACTTCAACTTTACTTGGGTTCTACCCTAAACCCTAAAACCCTAAAACCCTAAACCCTACACCCTAAACCCTACACCCTAAAACCCTAAATTCTAAACCCTATAACCTAAACCCTAAACCCTAAACCCTAAATCCTACACCCTAAACCCTATACCCTAAACCCTAAATCCTAAACCCTAAACCCTACTCCTCTCTAAATCCTGAGTCCAAGAACCTGAAATTGACGATGGGCCAGCTCGGGCCCTGGAGCGCTAAGCCTTAAAAGCCTCAGCCCCAAGTTTAGGGTTTAGGGTTTAGGGTTTAAGGTTTAGGGTTTGGGGTTTAGGATTTAGGGTTTAAGGTTTAGGGTTTAGGGTTTAGGGTTTGGGGTTTAGGGTTTAGGGTTTAAGGTTTAGGGTTTAGGGTTCAGGGTTTAGGGTTTAGGGTTTAGGGTTTAGGGTTTAGGGTTTGGGGTTTGGGGTTTAGGGTTTAGGCAATCCTTCGCTCTTGAAGCTTGTATTCCAAGCCCTAAATCTTAAACCGCGTATCCGGAACCCTAAAGTCCAGAGTTATAAACCACAGCCACGGATCTGTGGCTACCCCCGCTGAGATGGCGCGAGTCTTGCTGCCCCATGTTGTCGGACCATCGGGATACAGCAGGGAGCGAGAGAGAGAGAGAGAGAGAGATATATATATATATATAGAGGAGGGAGAGAGCGAGAGCGGAAGAAGAAGAAGAAGCCCTTAGCTTCAAACTTCAATCCATAAACCCCTCAAGCCCTACAACCCTAAAACCCTAGAGCCCCAAAACCCAAAGCCCCCAACGAGTCCAGGACAGCCACCAGGAGGCCCTGCAAGCGTTCGAGGATGGTCTCGTCCGCATCGTGCAAGCCACGCCTTCCGTGACGCACGTAGGAAGCATGTCCCACTGAAGTTGTTTCTTTATATCCCTAAGGCTCCATGTACCCATATAGAGATACATGAGCCCCAAAGTACCTAAATCGGGACTACATTAAGGCCAATGTATATACTATATGAGTACATGGACCCTTAGGGTACGTCTTCCTGATATACGTCTTTAAAGAGGTAGGTCATATTGGGGTTAAGGTAGGGTATATCATAGTATACCTAGCACCAGTAAGGGCTTGCTTGACCTTCACCGCAGACAAGGAGAGTAGGTTTTGGAACCCTAAACCCTAAACATCCTTTAGCCGGTTTAGCGTTTAGGGTTTATAGAGTCATAAGGGTTCGGCCCGAGCTCAGAGCAAGGGAGTTCAGCCGGGGTTTCTAAACGATCCCTTGGCTTCTGAATGCTATGGTTTAGGGTTTAGGGCTATAAGCCGTACTTGTAGGCCCACATCCCTGCATCCTCTGCCCTCGCGCTCCAGTGGTATGTTGAGGGCTGTGGCCATGAGGTGCGGGGACTTAGAAAGCTTCTGCCTGCGTCATGGCTGCGTGCGTCGCTGTGGGCCATGCCTTCCTGAGAAAGCTCTGCCTCTGTCGCTGCTGGGTGCGGCTTTGTGGGACCAGGTGCATCAAACTCCCAGAAAACGTGTTAAGGTCCCTTAGGGTAAATGCAGCCGTTGAGTTGCGGCCACCATTTGCAAGAAGCTCTCAGAAATCCCTACGGGACGTTGGCATGAGCAGTCTGGTCACTTGGAGGAAATGTCAGGACAAACTTGAGCTCTTGTTACCTGAAGCTACTGTAGGACCCCAAATAATTACCAATGTTTTTTATTTTTTTTGGGGGGGTCCTTATTACAGTTATAATATGTTTTTGTATAATATGCCCCAAAACCCTATTCGTTAAGGCCCCTCTATAGATCCCTTCTTATAGATCCGTTTTTAACGACTCCTTTAAATGGAGCCCTGAAAGGAATCCTATCCTCATTGTTAAGGCCACTACATTAGTGTGTTGAGGTCCCCTAGGGTCGCTGCAGCTTCTGCATACAACCGCTAGGTTGAGCGGTCACCATCGGCATCAAGCCGTTCCTTATTTTTTGCAGTTCCCAAAGGGTCCTAGGTACTGTTATGGGTGACATTCCCTCAGTCATAATGGTAAATGCTAGTATACGAACCCTACATCCTACTTTTTAGGTACTTTGGACCCTTTGCAGTGTTGAGGTAGCATCTCCAGCTGCCGGCAGACAGCCACTAACACTAAGCCATACCCCGCTCATCGTCATGGAGCCTTCCAGAAGTTTCAGTAAAAGCTTGCTAAAAGTTGCAGAGGGTCCGTGTCGGGTGCTCACAATACACCTAGTGCAGGGCCCAAAGTGACTGTCTCGTTAGTCCTCAAGCCACGGCAGTTTAAACCCTGCTCAAGACGGACTTGCAGGCTTTCTGGAGAAATTCCGAGATGGGTGCACGGGACGCTGTATTTTGAGATAGAGGGTGTGTTATTCATACCGTGTTTTTTGCGACTCAGCGGTTACTGTAATTATGTTCACTACGACCACCAATCGTCCCTTCGCGGATTGCGACAACAGACGGCCGCTTCATGATCTACCTTCGGATCCTTTTCTTTCTGAAGCTCGCTAAACGCTCCTCCTAAAGCGATGCCGGCAATTTCTAGTTCAAGAACAGAAGACAAGGAATGCCATTAAAGAGCATTGAAGACTTCCCGGTACTCCACATGTAGATCTCAGAGTCGCATTGAAGAAGTGTTAAATTGCAATAAGAAGCCCTAAGCCTACATTTACATGCTGTTCCCGAGTGCAGGAATTCCACACTTTGTAAGCTTTGGCGCTGATGTTAGGAATCAGGTTCCGCTTTTTCATGCTCTTGTCTTTGCGTCTCACTGAGGGCGTCTGCTTGGAGCGGACCTCAGCCTCAGTTTCGACGGACGGCCTGTTTGCATTTAGGATTTGGAGTCCAACGTTACAGGCTTACTATGGCTGAAGCGTCTGAGTTTTCGGAATCTCTGATGAGTTTCAAGGTTTACGGTGTGATTTTTGAGCTTCTCGATGCCATGATTCGGGTTTGCAGGGTTTAGGGTTTACCTTAACCCTGATGAACCTACCTTTTTAGGGTTCCAAATTATGATTTCCTTATAAACGTCCTTAAAAGGTAGGTTCTTCAGGGTGAAGGTAGGGTTTGCAGAGTTCCGTGGTTTGGAACTTCCGCCTCACGGTTTCGAGAAGTCGGATCTGGGTTCTGGGGAAGTTGGCACAAACGCGGCGGGATATATACCCCCGACACTTAAGGGATCATGGGACGTAGTAACTAGGGTTATAATCAGGATAACTATACTTATAACCCCAGTTAAGGTACTTATAACCTTACTTACTAAGTCCCATGATCCTCCAAGCAGGAGGAGTTTACGCCGTATGCCTAAGCCCTCAAAGTTAAGACCCCTTAACCATACCTTAACCTACCAAAACCGACTGTTTTGGTAGGTTCCCCATGAATTCCACATTACCCTAAGGCTCCAAAGAGGGTCTGGGGCTTTCTGGGGGAGGGTTTCGGCTTTGGGGGCTAGGGTCCGGGATCTCACTACGAGGGTCCAGGAGCTTTAAGGTAAACCACACCCTAAACCCTAAACCCTAAACCCTAAACCCTAAACCCATGAATTCCACATTAGGGTTTAGAATAAGAACCTACAAACAAAGCAGGGTTTCGTAGTTTACTGAAGTTTCAGAAGCCCTGAAGTTTCGCGGTGAAGACCCTAGACTACTTAAAGGATCATGGGACTTAGTAACTAAGGTTATAATTAGGGTAACTATGCTTATAACCCCAATTAAGGTACTTGTAACCTTACTTACTAAGTCCCATGATCCTCCAAGTATGGGAACTATGGTATACGGTATAGTCCTATTACTAGGATGCCCAGTAGTACCCTTATTCCCTTTTTGTAGTCCTAGGTTCCTGATAAAGATACCCAATACCAAAAAGGGAGCCCTTTTTATTCCTAGATTACTGGGCATCCTAGATTATGGGTAATGCAGGATTTATGTCATCAACCTCACCCGTAACCCCTACGGTCTTAGACTCACTCGCGGTCACTTCAACCTGCATTCATCTCGGCAGAAAACTTGTACCTTCATCAAACACCTGACTTGCCCCAAAACCTGCTGCCGCAGATTGAGGCACCATCCCAGGCTCTAAAGCCCCGAACGTTCCCCCACCGTCCCGAGCCGCCACAGCCCCTGACCCCAAACCACCCTAAACCTTTCCTAAGACTGCCTTCAGTTGGCCGCGCTCTTCGTTGGAATGCTCCTGTATCGCGACAACTCCATCCAGACCCTCGGATTGGCCTGAGCTTAGGTCATTTCGGAATCAGTGGGTTGGGATCTAAGTATAGGAGTCAGGGGGCAACTCAAGAGAAGTAGGCTTCAAATCCCAAGCAGTCCTGACCTAGAGCCTTGGCTTCTTGTGTATGCAACCCTTAATTTCTTGGAGCTCGAGGAATGTTATCCAGACTACTTAGATAGCAAACGGGGGAACTTTAAACTTGTTGGCCTTATGTATTAGCTCTATCTTAGAAAGTTTGATCTTTTTGGGGCCCGGTTGAAGAAGAGAGGACTACAAGCGAACCTACATCCCAAAGGCTGACCCCTAAACCCGAAAGCCTGGGAGCTGCATTTAGATCTTACCTGGTTCCTAAACAAAGGACATATAGTAAGGAAGTCATATGGGAGTTTCCGAAAACAGCGGCCCCCAGTACAGTACCCTACATAGTAGGACCCATAAGGACCCCAAAATGAGATACCCTGGATGTTTCTCGGAGACTTCCATGTTAGGAACCCTAAACGGTAGGTTCCTGTAGATGATCCAGGTAGATCCTAATCCCTGGATCCGAGTCACCAACTGCCAAACCCCGAACCCTTTAAGAGCCGAATTTACGGCTGATGATATAAGTCCTGCAATACCCTAGACTATGGGAATTATGGTATAGTCCTTATTATGGGTAATGCAGCAACCTCACCTGTAACCACTACATCTACTGCGCCGCTTGACGTCTCTCCTCCCGATCGCAACATCCCGTGATGAAAGGTCGCTAGGGCTCCAATTCTTCAAAAAGTAGGTTACTAAGCCATATACTGTACTCTGTATTTCCCAGTAACCCAGCGTTCGGGTAACCAGAGCTCTAGGGGAAGCCTCCCGACCTTTCGAAGGCAGGCTGTGGCTTTAGACTTTGGGGGCCCGTGGGTTCAGGCAAAAGCCTGACACTTGTTGAGCCCTTGCGCGGACAAATTCCCTAACCTGGAGCCCAAACCCTAAACATCTCCAGACCACGCTGTCGGAAGCAACAGCCCTGCATCCTACCCTAAGGCTCCAAAGAGGGTCTTGGGCTTTCTGGGGGAGGGTTTCGGCTTTGGGGGCTAGGGTCCGGGATCTCATTACGAGGGTCCAGGAGCTTTAAGGTAAACCACAAACCATAAAGTTTGAAGGACAAGCCCCTATTGAACCTCAGACTGCTAAAGACTAGACCCCAACCACCCTACTTGGAGGATCACGGGACCTAGTAAGTAAGGTTATAGGGGTCCCTTTAAGGGATCTATAGGGGTACTATAGGGGTTTAGGGTTTAGGGTCTACTTGGAGGATCATGGGACTTAGTGAGTAAGGTTATAAGTACCTTAATCGGGGTTATAAGTATAGTTACCCTAATTATAACCCTAGTTACTAAGTCCCATGATCCTTTAAGTAAGGCCCGCAGAACACCGAAGCAGCCGAGGAGTGTGCGCGAGAAGCGCAAGCGAATCCAGGCGTGAGTGTTTGCGGCTTTAGGGGTTTAGGGCTTACGGTTTAGGGCTTAGGGATGAGGGTTGGGTTCGGTTGCAGGCTCAGGGTTTTTTGGGAGCCTGAATATCAGCAGTTTTGGTGTCATAATCTCTATAGGACTTGGTATTAATTTTTATGCTGAGGGTTTTTATTTTTATGCTGTGCACCTTTCCGTCTCCATTGACCTCCATGTCTCCATCCCATCGTCGATAGGTTTTGTTCTTATGCGCATGGAGTCTCCTTTTATGCTTGAGTTTTATCCTTTTTATGCTGCTGGTCTCTATTTTTATGCCAATCTGACCTTTTTTTATGCGGCCCCCTTTCCTTGTTATACTTGATGGGCCGGCTGGGAGGGTGGGGAGGCCTGGGCCCCATTGCCTCTTTCCATTTTATGCTTGAGACTGGTGTCAGTTTTATGCCAATCTGACTTTTTTTTATGCTGCCCCCCCTCTCCCCTTATGCTCTATGGGCCAGATGGAGGGGGCGAGGGGCGGCCCATTTGGACGAGCCCGACTTTGTTTTATGCTGCCCCAAGTCCTTTTATGCCAATCTGACTTTTTTTATGCTGCCCCCCCTCTCCCCTTATGCACTATGGGCCAGATGGAGGGGGCGAGGGGCGGCCCATTTGGGCGAGTTCGACTTTTTTTATGCTGCCCCCCCCCTCGCCCCTTCCTCCGTATGCTCCGCGGGCCAGATGGAAGGAAGCGGGGGCTGCGAAAAGGCGGAAATTCGCTTTAAAGCGCTTGCTAGAAGGCGAATGTCGCCTTTGAGCATCAACTTCGTGTTTGAGGGGCGCATATGGGTTTTGTGGGTTTCTCCGTTTCTGCTTCCAGAGCGAAAACCTAGGTTTTGTATAGCTACGGCGAACGTGGTTGAATTCTTGCAAGTACGTTTATGGAGATTTTTCGCTACCGAACTTTGCCTTTAAGCAGGCAGGGGTAGGCTTCCAGGCGGCCGTGTAATTACTTTAGAACGGCACGCAGCTGGAATGAAAAACCATGGAATGCTTTGGGAAAACACGTAAAGTCCAAATTAGAATCTCGCAGGTCCTAGAGTGTTTTGGCAGATTTGGACATCGGCTTCGTGTTTGAGGGGCACCGGTGGTTTTTGTGGGTTTCCCGGTTTCTGCTTCCAGAGCGAAAACCTAGGTTTTGCATAGCTACGGCAAACGTGGTTGAATTTTTGCAAGTACGTTTATGGAGATTTTTCGCTACCCAACTTTGCCTTTAAGCAGGCAGGGGCGGGCCTCCAGGCGGCCGTGTAATTACTTTAGAACGGCACGCATCTGGAACGAAAAACCATGGAATGCCTTGGGAAAAACGTGAAGTCCAAAATAGAATCTCGCAGGTCCTCTAGTGTTTTGGCAGATTTGGACATCGGCTTCGTGTTTGAGGGGCGCATATGGGTTTTGTGGGTTTCTCCGTTTCTGCTTCCAGAGCGAAAACCTAGGTTTTGCATAGCTACGGCGAACGTGGTTGAATTCTTGCAAGCACGTTTATGGAGAATTTTCGCTACCGAACTTTGCCTTTAAGCAGGCATGGGTAGGCCTCCAGGCGGCCGTGTAATTACTTTAGAACGGCACGCAGCTGGAACGAAAAACCATGGAATGCCTTGGGAAAAACGTGAAGTCCAAAATAGAATCTCGCAGGTCCTCTAGTGTTTTGGCAGATTTGGACATCGGCTTCGTGTTTGAGGGGCGCATATGGGTTTTGTGGGTTTCTCCGTTTCTGCTTCCAGAGCGAAAACCTAGGTTTTGTATAGCTACGGCGAACGTGGTTGAATTCTTGCAAGTACGTTTATGGAGATTTTTCGCTACCGAACTTTGCCTTTAAGCAGGCAGGGGTAGGCTTCCAGGCGGCCGTGTAATTACTTTAGAACGGCACGCAGCTGGAATGAAAAACCATGGAATGCTTTGGGAAAACACGTAAAGTCCAAATTAGAATCTCGCAGGTCCTAGAGTGTTTTGGCAGATTTGGACATCGGCTTCGTGTTTGAGGGGCGCCGGTGGTTTTTGTGGGTTTCCCGGTTTCTGCTTCCAGAGCGAAAACCTAGGTTTTGCATAGCTACGGCAAACGTGGTTGAATTTGTGCAAGTACGTTTATGGCTATTTTTCGGGACCAAAAGCGCGCCACGCGAAACGACTGAAAAAAATCCCTAGGCCGGCAGTAGCAAAAAATCACCAAAAATAGAGCTATTTTGGGCCTCGTTTGTGCTGTTTCCAATCGTGAAAGAGCCTTGGTTCTGCAGGTATTGTTGGCTTCAGTCTGCACGAAAATCCCGCTTGAAAAGCTCAAGTGTCATTACCAAAACAAGACCCCCAAACACAGGCATGCCTCTACGTCACCATGCCGCACCTGAATTTTTAGACAGTTTTGTCCATGCCTTTAGAGTTTTTGAGCTGCACCGGTGATTTGAAAGGTTGCCGCACTGCTTTCCATCACATGCAAGCCTTTGCTGCAGTCGTTCTTGTACACCAACACACATATGTATATATATATATATATATATATAGATGTATATGTACAGAAAAACTGTTTATAGACATATATTTAGATCCAACATTTAAATCGTACTACATATAGAACATAATATATGTGTATAAGATATGTAACGTAATGTACGTTATGTAGGTGTGTATACATATATATCTTATGAAGGTCCTTCTAAGGTTATGTATGTACAATATGTAATATAAGTCAATGTTGTATGGCATGTTATAGACATTACACGTCATGTTTGAAATGTCATATATGTTGCATTTACATGCATGAGGTAAAATCCATCTATATATAGTTTTGATGAATACATATATACGCATTAGCTATACTAGGTTGTACATATAGATATATTTCTACTCTAGTGCATATATTATGTATATATGTGTATGTGTATATATATATATATATATGTTTTATATAGTGTACAACACAAGCACCAACAGCAACAGTAGCAGCAACAACAACAAGGAACAAAGAAGCCCACAAAGTCAACAACTGCAACAACAACCGACATCGACGACGATGATTACTCCTAGACTACGACTGCTGCGACTAGTACTACTACTAGTACTACTGCTAGTACTGCTAGTGCTACTGCTACTGCTACTGCTACTGCTACTACTACGACTACTACTACTACTACTACTACTACTACTACTACTACTACTACTACTACTACTACTACTACTACTACTTCTATTGCTGCTAAGCGACTACTACGACGACGACTGCGACGTCGACTACGACTACAACTATGACTTCTACTAGGACTTCTTCTGCTTCTACTACTACTACTACTACTAAAACTACGACCACGACCGACTACGACTACGAGTACCGCTACAACGACGACGACTACGACTACTACTAGGACCACTACTTGTGCTATATTACCTGTGCTGCTACTGCAACGAAGACGACACGACGACGACGACGACGTAGGAGCAATAGTAGTAGTAGTAGTAGTAGTAGTAGTAGTAGTAGTAGTAGTAGTAGTAGTAGTAGTAGTAGTAGTAGTAGTAGTAGTAGTAGTAGTAACAATAGCAATAGTTGGCTTCTCGTCGAGCGGCCTGCACAGGCCCCGGGAATGCGCAACCCAACACCAATCCATGTCAGCTGTGGTTTGCTATGACATGCGGTCGTTTTAGACAGAGCTGCGAAGGGAAGCAGAAAGCAAGAAACCCGTCCTTGAGAAGGGGTTTGGGGGGTGAACCCTACGCGCATGTTGTGGCTAACGGCTACAAAGGCATGCAGGACCGCAGCCGCGACCATGTCCGGTGAACATGGGCGAGGAAAGACTAACAGGGACCCGGAATGGGCACTGGCAACAGCAGGAGAACCCGACGACGACGACGTCGATCAGGACCTGATAAAGGACGACGACAAAGTCCTGCATGCAGAGGGACCTTGCGAAGCCGTCTTAGACGGAGGGCAGTCTGAGGCTGCGCGCGAAGGGATTGGCGAAGGTATGTAGCCGCCAGGAATATATGTGCTAGGCCGATGCTGCAGACACGCATGTCGGACTGGAGCCGGTTCTGAGGTCCGTGCATGTGCTGAGAGCGCGAGCTGGTCGGAGGCCTGGGAGGGGATGGTTCTACCATGCAGAAGACGGCTTGTGGGAGCAGGGGAACGCAGCCCGGCCAGACCGTGCATGGACATGCTTGCGCTGGAATTTCGCATCCGTGGCTATAGTGCTTTGAAGCTTCACTGGACAAAGTGTAGACTCGTAATTGCGGCGCAGCAACTCTCTCGCAGGATCCCAGCAGCCATGGTGCAGACACGGGCAGTGAGTCAGAAGTCGCTCGAGCCGGGTCCACTTATAGACCCAGCGGGAGGGTTGCCAAGGAAGCAGCCTCTCCGAGATGCAGAACCTAGTTTGGGCGATCGTGTTCTACTTTATCGAGACGTGGAAACACTTGAACGGGTGCTGCAACGAGTCAAGACCATGGAGGTGCGCCACCTTGCTTGTTCGCCGGGCAGCAGCTGGCTGGCAGCCGGGGGCGAGATCCGCGGCTGGGGCATGTTCGGAGAATCCTTTGTCCCGGGATGCGTGCAGGAGTTCAAAGATTACGAAGGCGAGCATCGGATGGTCGTGGAGGCACTACCGTACAAGCAAACGCATCTGTGGCCGATCAACGACTCCTACCGCTTGGCCCAACCGGTCCCGTTCAAGCGCCAGCGGGGACCAACAACATGGGTGGGCTTCTGCCCGCTGGAGAGCAGAGTCCAAGACCGAGCGAAGCGCGGTGGATTGGAAAACGTGGGGCACAGCTGCTTCATCAACGCTGCACTGCAAGGCCTGTATAGCTCTCCACTTTGGCGGCAAAAGCTGACGGAGGAGAGCAATGATGTGGCCAGCGAGCTTTGGCAGGTATGGCGTGGAATGACGGCCGCGACCGTTACAAGGCCGCAGCCCATTCTGCAGCGGTGGTATCATGGAGTGCAGGAGGACAGCTTCGAGTTCCTTTGTGGAGTTGCCGAATCTG